AAGCAAAAAGAATACGGAAGTAGCACAAAGAGAAACAGAAGCTCTATTATGATTTGAAACGACGGGGAGTAACTTATAAAGTAGGGGATGAAGTTTAAAAATTAAGCATTCACTTTCTTCAGCACCAGAAGATAAAACTGCCAAATTTTTTCCACGATTTGAAGGACCATATGTTATAGAAAAAATAACTCACGCTGTAGTAGTGTTAAAAGCCAGAAATGTGGTGAAACCTGTTCCGCAAACATTGATCAAATCAAAGCCCTACTTCGATCGTAATAAAATGCAAATATTTTCAGATCTTTTGCAGGATCCGGCACGGCAGACACCGCAGGCACAAGCTCCAGAGGTGGAAAAACGACAAGTACAAGGGCAAGCCAATAAGAGGCAGGAGCAAGTGAAAAGAAAATTGCCCCGCGGAAAAATTGAAGGTAGCAAGAAAAAGAAGCCGTTCCACACGTCCAGAAAAAAGAGAGTTCACGAACACCCCCAGAATGAAGAAGGAGAAAGGACGACGTATGTGAAGAGAACCAGGAGAAATGACGGCAACTATAACCCGGCTCTAAAACGGAAGATCTACTCATCCGACAGGACTCTCCGCAGCAAATGTCGCCGAACTGCGGAAGGGCCATCAGCGGCGAGCGGAGGAAAAAGTACAAGAAAGGAAAATTTGAACGGCCAGCAACGAGGTCCAAGCAGGAACACGAGAGAGAAGTTTCCCGGTTCCGCCAAGACCAGCTGCCATCAAACGGCCAAGACCACAAGCAGAGGAGAAAAAGAAGGTATTCAAGGGTGGACCGAACTGGTGAAAAAAGGAAGCTTCCAGAGGAAAGCACTGAAGGGCGAGCCCGTACAAGAAGGAGGATAAATCAACACGAACTATCTGCAATACCTTTTAAAGACTGGGCCCAGAAAAGGATGTCCGAATATCACAAAGATAAGTAAAATTTTATGTTACTTTGCAAACTTAAGTTAATCTTTCATTCTTACTGCAAGTGGCAGATTTCAAGAAGTTTTACCTCATGCGAGGTCTACCTTTATCGCCAAAAGGGCGAGAAATGAGTTGTTACCGATTTTCGTATTATGTTTTTAAATTACTCGCGCGTAAAACTAAAGTTGATGTATAATAGCGTTGTGTAAAGACTTAAATATTGTAAAAAGTTATTGTATAAATTTTATTTAAAACATTCTAGCAAGAAAGAAGTTTTAGTCTGAAAGACTTTTTGAAATGTAGTATTTCAATGTAGAAAGAATTGGCACTTGCTTTGAAAAGAATAGAAGTTAACAATGTACTACTAATGTATGTTTTCAAATGTGTAAAATTAACGGCATGTTAATATGTTCTTATATATAATGTGAATTATTATTAATTTTTTATTTTAAATGTTAAGAAATACCGTGATATGGTAAAAGTGAATGTTAAATTTTTTTTATTCGTGTGACTGTAAAAAGACTAAAGCATGGCGAATATGTGTTAAAGGTTGAATGATGTAGTTAGGCTCTCTGACGCTACACTTTAGAGTTAGCCACTTTTAGAATAGTACCTCAGGGTTTAGAGTTGAAATTAGGGTGTGTTAAGAGGTCTTGTTATGTTGAATTTTAACACGTTAGTGTTTTGATTGTAGGAGGAAGTGTTGGAACACGTAGACAGAAACACATTCGTGTTTGGTGTTCTTTTACAAACACATGTCAGAGAGCACGGGGAGAGATAATTAAAATAGTCATGAATGAAATAAGAATGTTAAGAGAAGTATAATTGTATATGTTACTTGCCATTTCATTGTGTAACATTTCATTAAACTAGTTTTCCTTCCAGATCTCTGGAAGGAACCAGAATTGAATAAAAGCTCCTGTTTAGATGCAGTACAGATGAAAAAAAATTGTTGTATATCCTGGGAGCTGCTATTGTAAAAAAAAACAAATTTCTTTCTTTTAAATTTCTAGTTTCTAGCAAAGTATGTTTGTAAAAGATTGGCCTCGCGTTAGAGTCTAGAGCTAAAAGTTTTCAACAAGGTCGTTTTAGACCTCAGTTTCAAACTAATTAACTCTGGCGGGAAGTATGTAAGGATCTTAAGTTTTACTAACGTTTATTTTATTTTAAATCTTTACTATCACTTCTTATTTTCTACTTCCGGCCAGAATTATAAGCGTTAAGGTTTTTATGCAAAGTTTGTCTGGCGAACGCCAAGTATTTAAGTTGTGGCTTTTTGCCAAGCGAGAGAGAGGAAGCAGTGAGTCGAAGCAGGCCGCTTACCTTAGAAGTTACGCAGTTGCTGTTTGCCTTCCAGGCCAGAGGTTTTAATCCTCTTGATAAATTTAAACGTATTGTGTGTGTTCTCAGTTCTCTGTACTACATACGCTTCCTGTTAATATAAGGCCAATCTTCCACGTTTTATTATTCTAAAGTTAAATTAGAGTTTAGTTTTATTTTTATGCCTTTACGTTAGACCCCAAGTAGCGGGTCAGTGTATTCCGAAGTACGGAAGTTATTGTATATAGAGAAAAATAAAGGGTTTTGTATACCCTTCGTCTGTATCCTGTCTACTTACCACAATTAGTGAACATAGCTTTAGTAAGCTCTCTGTTCCGAGTTAGGTCCTTGTATGTTCCCGAAGAAGGTAAGAAGGAACATTGACCCTGATAATCTAACTGATATATTCATGAATATTTGGAATTTTGTTGTAATTAATAAACGACGTATCTAGTGCTGTGTACTATGTGACTGGTATAGAATAATTAGTTTTTAAATTTTTGAAATGTTTCACATTTTTTCTTTTTAAAGAATATCAAAAAATTTTTTTTTAAATAATATTCTTCTTTAAGTTGTAGGCAGCAATCAGAAAGATTTTAGCTTCAAAAAATGTCATCTCAACTTTTTAATTTAAATGCGAAATACGAAAATTGAACCGGCTTTCCGTAGGCAGCACTGAAGAGAATTCCTCGTAATACTGCTGTTTTATTACAAATGAGAGATTTTGTACGATATTTTAAGAAACATATTTCCATATATTAATTAATTGCTTTTACTACCTACCCTATTAATCAGTCACTTAAATTTACTTTCTTAAATTCTCTCAACCTAAGAAATTAAAATAAGATACTTATGAAGAAAAAACTACCTGTCCCTTTATAAAATAAAACAGGAAAAACTTGTTGTGTAATTATATATTAATTATTATAACTATATTAAAATAATTTCTATTTTGTGATTTTTATGCATAAATTACATATCTAATATATTTTCAAAATCAAAATTAATTAAAAATATTATAAATGACACTTCTGTTAAAGGAGGCCTTCGTGGAGGACTTTCCAAGGGTAACTGGCTCTAACGTTACAAATGCACGAAAGCCAATTATGCAGCGAGCCCGTTCGCCTTGGTTCAAATATAGGTTGAATTATTAGCATTCCATGGCCTTAAATATTTGATCATAGATTCTTTAGTCTTTTTTAATTTATTTAAGTTTTTGACTTAATAAGGAAAGAATTTAAACTGTAGCAAGAATATAATAGGAAAACGCTTAAAGGCACTACGTGTCTGTTATATTTTAGGTTTGAATCTATGCTACCAGTTTTCGCAAAGTTGTGAATAGATGACTAATGGGATAAATAATAATAATAATTCTCAGCTTGCAATTCTTTCATATTTTTTCCTTTTAATGCTGCCCACTAGCAGCTGAGCGGTAAAATCACTGAACACTAGTAGTTCCGACCTGGGCACGACTTCAGGCGATCATGGGAATTTTCATAGTTTTCCCCAGGTGTAACGAACATCCAAGCTGGTTTTCCTTACAAAGTCCTCCATGAGGGCATTCCACCATCAGGCAGATAGCCCTAGTCTGCCTTGCCGTAATCCACTAAAACAACTCGAAAAAAACCCCTTTTTGTGGAAAGAAGCTTAAACGAGATTTTTTGTTAAATTTCTTGCAACCGTTATATTACTTTTCATTTCTGACAGAACTAGGGAAAATAAAAAAGTTCTGTTTAGATCTAATTAAAAATCGCAGTCAGTAATTCCGATTGATTTTAAAGAAATTGTAAGAGGTGGTTAAAACTGTAAATAGCGGCGTATTTTACTATGGCATAAAGATAAAATGACAATCATCTGCAGCCATAGGCAAAAATTTATCTCGAGTAAAAATTGCGTCAATGTACTTTAACCGGCAGGAATAATTTATGAGAAATTTACACTTAAAGTGGATATGGTCAAGCCACTTGCTCTACAAAGAATTGATAAACCAAATTTTGAAAAGAGTTTAGATCATGCAGTCAGAGGAGGCTAGATCAGATAACTGAATTATGTATATTACTTTTTCACCAAATGCAATTATTATCAATTACTTGTGAGGGAAAAAAATTTTAAACTCATTTTAACAATCTATCTTGCTAGATAACTGATTCTACATCTCTGGTAAATTGTGGTACTTTGCATCAAAGCACTTCCGTGCGCTACACCATTTTGTTTTAATCACAGCTGGAGTCCGCCAACCTACAGCTACAGCCACTCAGTTTTCAATAAGTATAAATTCTTTAGTACTTATTCAAAAAGTGCCTCTTGAAAGTACAAGGCATAACACAAACAGGCAAGACATCACGGTTTTAGGTGAAGGGGTTTCGTTTTGCGATGCCATACATCTCAGAAAACTAGCATCTCCAAATAGCTTCTGAAAGCGCAGCTCCAGAAACTGCAGGAGGTTTTAGCCCAGAATTGGCCACATTGCTTTACTCCTTCTCATGGTCTTGCAAATACAGAGTTGCATGTCTATGAACTTTTAGCCCGCCGATCATGATGTCAGTGACTTCAGGTTTGCTGCGGACTGCTTCGCTTTTCGACAGCTTAAAACTGTATTTGAATTGCATACATTAAGTCACTGCCAATGAAGGTTTTATAGAAAAGGTAGAAGCTACAAAATTGCTGATTGGATTGCTGGATGTGATTAAACTTCAGGGGCATAAGATCTTAAAATTTTGCGTTGATTGAAATAAAAATGTTAAAAACTCACTTTGCATTTTCCTTGCCGCAGCTGCTTGGGTATGAGTGGTAACGGCAAATGTGTGGCCATTAATCTGGGTGACTTGAGTTTCCTGAGGTGTCGCATGTGGCCTATAGGTCGGCCAACCTCCAGATGCTCTACGCGGTAGTTGAGTAGTTTGTTCTTCACTTTGTTGGGATTACCATCATTGTAAATGAGTGACACAATTTCCTCAGTCCAAGTTGTGCCTGCAAAATTGATGGTTGTTAGTAACTGAATTGAACAAAGGATAAGCAAAAGCAGACTTTTAGTCATTAGAAAGATTAAATCTCAGATAAATAAAATATTTAGAAGGAATTTCCGAAAAAGTGCCTTCATAAATTTCGGATTTTAAAGGAAAGTTACCAGCAGATAATTATAAAAATATAAATAAAGAGTTAAAGTCACTAAACTCGAATATTTCTTAATGTAAATGAGAGAGTATTTCCGATTACTAGTAGAAATGCTAAATTGTGAAACATTTCATGTTATTACCTGTGTCCTCGCCATAAGAAACAGCTATTGGAGAAATGGGTGTTTTCACTACCTTCCATCCGTTTTCCTTTAGGTCAATAGATGGCGACACGATCGATTTAAATGTTCATAGGGGAGTTTCTTAAACTGGACGCGACGTGAAATGGAGTTGCGAACATTTTATTCAAATGCACGAATTAAAAAAAAAAAAAAAAAAAAAAAAATTAGTCGCTATCCTTTTATTATCTTTGATTCAATATACTACATTTTTTATACAGCGCAGTTAAAATTCGTAATACTGGCCAAGTTGAGTTCTAAACAGTGGCGTAGCTACGGTGGGGCAAGGGGAGACATCTGTCCCCGGGCGCAGCATTCAGGGGCGCCAAATTTATGTTACATAATTTTAGAATAAAATGCTTCTCATTGTTGGCACACAGGAAAGGGACTCAAAATCTTCAGTTGTTCCCGGGCGCTGAAAACCATAGCTACGCCTCTAGTTCTAAATTATATTTATACACTGAGGGGGAAAAAAAAAAAAAAAAAAAAAACACTAAGGTAACATAATAGCGGTCGCATTACAATTTCAATATATAAATTATTTCAGAATAAAAGTATGTCAAGTACGTAATGTCCTGTATCACACACATAGGAGTCCGAGATACTACTATAGTGACATCGCTATCACTACTATAGTGGTGATATAGATATCACTACTATAGTGATAACGCTTTATCGAAAAACCGTTATCTCTATACTAGTCGTTGTCTTGAAATAGACAACTGAACTACACTGGAATAGTTCAGCTGTTCTTTTCCATCGCATCAATTACATACATGGGAAGAACAATACAGTATTGTATTTTAGTGTTTTACTCGACTAAAGTTAATATTTATTTGAGTAATTATTACGAAGGACGTTATTTACCGTATAGGATGAAAATATTTTTTATCCATTGATAAATGTCTGAACTAGAGTAACAAAGATAAATACGCATATAGCCAATGCTGCAAAATCTTTTCAGGCAAGGTCTAACAATCAGAAAGAAACATCTATGATGCGAAAAAGAAAATATGATGATCTTCAATTTGGCTTAATTTTCAAAAATTGTGATGATAATGAGAAACCCCTTTCTTTAATTTGCAATAAAATTTTGGCAATGGCATGAAACCATCAGAATTAAAAAGGTCATTTTGAAACCAAGCACCTTTCGGACGTCAACAAACAAAAACAGTATTTCAAACGACCGTTAAAATCTTCAGATAAAGAAAAACAATATTTTGAAAAATTCAGTGTCTGTTAGCGAAAAATATTTATTCGCGTCATATAAAGTTTCATATCTGATTTGTTAAAAACAAAAAAGCCATGCAACATTGGAGATCTTGTATTCCCTTTTGCTATTAAAATGGTAAAAATGCATCATGGAAAATAAATATAGCGATGGAATTCGGAAAATTCCTTTGTCAGACGACACAGTCGCCAACTGAATTTCTGAAATTAACGACGACCAATTCCAGCAACTTATTATTAGAATTAAAGGAAGCCCGAATTTTAAAAATCAGCTGGACGAAACAATCGATTTAAAAAATATCAGTTTTAAATATATGCCACATGCATTTATAAAGAAAACATCGATGAAGAATTGTTATTTTGTCGTTATCTGAGAGAACACACAAAAGGGAAAGTTAAGCAATATAGTTTTAATTTAAAAAAAAATTGAAGCTCTTATGTCCTTCAAGTAATTTATGTAATTTATATTCACATTAGAACAGCAAGACCTCTGAAAACTGTAGTCACGTACATGACAAAATGATTTTATGCGTCGTGAAATTTTACGAGTTATGGAATAGCAATGTTTTCTAGACAGACAAAAAGGGATAAATGTCCATAACACAATGGAATGTGAAATAGAAAAATTTCAAGCTATAATTTTTTAAAACAGCCATTTTGCGCGCTACAGCATTTAGAAATAGGGCTGAAATGTAACAGACAATTCATTTAATGGTCAATACACGTAATCCATCAGAGAATTTCAATTTACTAAAAACAGCTCGTTTAGCAAAACTCAATGTCATTGGTCAAAATAATCTTTGAGCTTAAACTAATATTATTCAGAATTACTACAGTGAATGGTAAACGAAACTTCTTATTTTTCCTGACGCTGGAACTGCTGGCTGTCGGCCAATGATTCAGAAACCATAAATTAGCTTTTTAGATATTGTATAGTTTAATGGAATTTCTTTGTAAAGAGAGTTAACATTATCCGAAGGTGTGAACAAAAGATTAATGCCGAATTTTAGTTTCTTTTTTAATAATTCACATTTTTAGGTTATAAAACCAGACATCAGTTAGTTTCAAAATCCAGAAAACATTATTAATTTCATCGGACTTCATAAAATTTCTTTTCACCACGTTAAATACTTATAGATCTTCAACTAAGACAAACAATGAGCAAATATTTCATTAAATTTTCCATTTGAGATGAAAACTATGATCTATGTATGCACTGAATTATTTAAATTTATACGAGAAAAAAAAAGTATATTTATTTCTTTAGTTGTATCACAATATTTGTCTCATAAAATCATTGAGACAAAAACATTTATTAGAGTTTATAAAGCATTTTCTCCTTCCCTTCCTCATGTCTTGGTAATGTAACTGAAAGCCCACTCGACGTGATTTGGGGGATCCGGATTTCGAATGCCAGCAGGACATTGTGGATTTCTTTAGCTTCCTTAATAATAATAATAATAATAATAATAATAAATAAATGAAAAAAAAAAACTAACAATTCTGCAAGTTCTTTTATGTCAAAGAATACACACAATGTGTCTACAAAGTTTTGGACTAACCTTTTTAAAGAAATTTCAGCAAACATGCCAAACGATCATTGACAGCGTTCATTATTTATGAAGTCTCAACTAGGTTTCCCTAAAATATCGTCTGCGTAAAAGCAGAATTTTCCTCAGCACCACTCGTCAGCTGGTCAGGATTGTGGAATTCATCGGTTCTGCATTTCATAACAAGCAAAGTATAGCGCTCCTTATGTTGGACTTGGCAAAAGCCTTTGACCGCGCATGGCATCAGGGGGTTGTTTTCAAGCTCATTAACCTTGGATTGCCTAGAAAATTAATTCTCCTGATTTATTCCTTTTTGCAACATCGCGTGTTCTTCGTCTCACTAGGCAATGAAATCTCTACTCTGAGACCTATAAGATCTAGTGTCCCACAGGGAAGCATCCTCGGACTGGTTCTTTACCTGTTTTACATCTCGGACTTTCCTCATCCTGGATTTGACAACTACTCTCTTCTTGCATGCTACACCGATGATACGGCGATAGCCATCAAGTCTATCAACGCAAATCATGCAATTGATAAAACGCAAGATTTTCTTTACACTGTAGAGGACTGGTGCACAATTGGAGAGTTAAAATTAACGTCAGTAAGTCTTAACTTTTAATCCTTCGCAAAAACCAAAAACGCACCGAGTTTAAAGAACTTTTCCTTTTTCAAGAGCCTGTTCCTTTAGTTACAAAAGCCAAATACTTAGGAGTGATTCTTAACCATAATATCACTTGGACCAACCATATTAAGAATGTTAAAAATAAAGCCATTGGAATTACGTGCAGATTTCTTCCAGTAATTTGAAAATATTCTAACCTAAGCTTAAGAACCAAGAGACATATTTATACTACTTGTATCCGGCCTATTCTTTGTTATGCATCTCCTGTTTGGAATACTGCCTCTCCTAATCAATTACATCCACTTCAAGCAATGCAGAATAAATTTCTTCGTATTATCACTGATGCTGACTTTCTCATCTGAAATGAACTTCTTCATAGAGATCTTAAGCTTGAAACCATCACAGAATTTATTAAAAGAACAAATGAGAAATTCTTCTTAAAGATGTCTAATGCGACTATGTGAACTATTCTTCTCAAGTCTTCAACTACGAAATACTCAATGAAGACCGCAACATAAGACCACTTGTAGCTCCCACCTTCATGGCATGAGGCCTCTGCTTCTTGTCTTGCTCCTCAATTGGTGGCTGTAATTTCTTTCAGTTTATCTGACGAAGACAGTGCTGTACTCTAAGTTGTTTGGGTTTGCTAGTGGGATGTTGTAATGACCGTTGTGTGTTGGTTTTCTGTTGCATGGATTGAATTTGTGTAGTTAAGTAGTATTATTGAACTTTTGTTGTTGTATAGTATTTTGAATCATGTTTTGCATTCGTCGTTTCTCTGTATTGTCAAGGATCCATTCGGATTTTCTTCATCTTGTCAAGTTCCGTTCACCTGCCGGATGCCTTTGGGCCTTTTCCTTTTGGTACCTCCCTCACTTTTCCTTTCTCCGTTTTCTCTTCCGAGATGTTTTCCGTTTCCAGAATTCATTATGTCGTGTGCCCTTGGGATTTATTTGACGAACTGGCAACGTTGCGCCTGCTTAGACAGCTCGGTAATATCGATCTGTCTAGGCAGAATTTTCTGCCAGTTCATCATTCGCTTTGAGCCAGTGAACATCCGTTATTAGGGATTCGAAAGTACAGAAAGGAGTAGCACCAAAGTTTTGCTATAAAAGCAAAACAAACAAACAAACAAGATGATTTTTTTAAAACAAATTGTGACCGGTGATGAAAATTAGTTCTTTGGTTTTCATCCTGAGACAAAATAGCAACAGTTTGGAGTGGAAAAAGTTCACCACAATTACAGAAACATCGGTTTCAGTTATCTCGAATAAAG